TTAGTAGATAATATCTTATTTAATTACTCTTTTCCGTTCAATATTTTTCTAAACTCTATTCATACCCGGAAGTATTCATTAACGATTTGAACAGGGGAAATTAGCGAGTAAGTGAACATGATTATTTATATACAATGTAATCAGAATTGTAGCAATGATGCGATAATTGTGATTGTATAGTGATAAAAAGATGAACTTGAAATATGCCGCCAGCTAGGGGATAAAATACATCGATTATATAAACATTGTGACGAATGGTCACTATAAAGTCTTTACCATAGAATTTTAAACAGCCTACGGTTAAAAATCTGACTATACATTAGTAGAAATGTCAGAAAATGAACAGAACAGAACTACTATTTCGTAACTTATACAACGCAGTAACTTGTTAAGATACATATAACAAATGATATATATAGCATGACTTCATATCTTTAGTTTAACTGTCTGGTTTAAGTCTGAAAACAGGATAAATTTAGTTTTTGAGTGCGATTGGGAGTATTTTGTAAATAAAAAAACATTTTGCAGATACGCGCTCTTCATCGCTGTTCAATTATGATATTTAGAGCCCGTCAGGAATCAGTGCCAGCAGGTAACTTGGGACAGTTTTTATTTGTTTTGGTCGTCAGACGACCAAACAAGTAATGGTAGCGAAATTTCAGAACCTGATGTGCTTATTTGCAAAAAAAAAAAAAAAAAAAAACGAAAGTAGTCCAAACTCCTCGAAGCGGTTACTTCCCTTTATATGTACACTAACGCCGAAAACTTAAGGGGAGATCACTGCGTAAAGATTGTCAAATGAAGGCGCATTAATTTTCAAGCTTTCTCGGGAAAAAAACTTATTCTCGAATAGTCGAAGATTTCTAATATTGTGCTATTCCTTGTAAATATACATGCTTATATTAAGCTCTATGATTATTTACATCAGTCTTAAACAACAGGTTTACCGTGAACAAAATATATCGAAATTAATAAGGGTTACAAACCCTAATTTAAAATAATGTGGTTTTCTTCAGACCGTTAACATATAACTTCACCGTGGACGCTCGCTTAGGAAGCGAGGGGTCTGGAGTTCAAATAACAGTTAAGGCAACTCATTTTTTTAAAATGGTTTAAGTCAAATAAACACTGAATTTACTATCAGTGTTGCAGTTAGTCTTATAGCCATTTTAATTCAGTTAAAACACTGGAAGTAGAATTGGTGGCACTATTCAAAACAAATGGGTTTATAATCTCACAACTTACACCTTTCTGACATTCTGACACCCAAACAAATTCAGCGCCTTCTGTGCTTTGATTCTTGTTTCCTGTCTTATTATGGTTCCTGTTTTAAAATATCAGTTTTAATAATGCAAGTTCCAATGTCATCAAGCAAAATAGAATAAAATGCATTAATTCTGTTCCATAGGATACATCATTAATTCATTTTATAGAAATTGTAATGTTGCTTTTTAAGATGTCAATATTTGAATATTTCATTTTGTTGAGCAACGTTATTGTATGTTTGAATTTTTGAGATTACTGAAAACAATTGTAGTCTTTAATTGTTCAGTAATTGATATTTTTATTTTCAGATTTTAAGGCCTTCTCCTACCATAGGTATAATATTAAACTGTTACAAATATAGTCGCCGGTTTCTACCGGCGACTAATTAATCCTAACACGAAGTTTCGCGAAAGTACTTTTCCCGAAAGGGTACTTTTCACGATCTTTGATGAATAAATCATAAAAAAATACAAAAAATATCACTGATTCAAGTATACAATACAACTTTTGATAAATTACAATCAAAATAATTACCTTTATACGCAACTTTTCATAAAATATAGAATAAATAGAAATAGACGCAGAGTCAATATCTATTTCCAGTAGGTTCCCGTTTCACTATACCCTTTTCCCGAATGAATTGGCATTATAAATCACGAAGTGAATTTGTGCTCACTTAAATTTGATTAAATTTATAAATCATTTAAAACATGAAATGGCCGTATTTCGGAAGTAGAAAAGAGTGTGTGTTAGTGTTGAGTGAATTGTGTGGCCGAAAGTGTGCAGTTCAAATTATTATAATCATAATGTGTAGCCTGTAGTTCAGCTGCCGATACGTTACTTGAATCAGTCAGCCAGCTAGCTCTTCGAGGTGGCTATTATATTTCTGGAACATGTGGAATTAGGAACATAAAAATATTTATTAGTGAGCTTGAAAAGCAGGACAAACATTACGGTAATGCGAGTATTTTAAAAGTGGTGAATGTGAAAACTTTGCCGGAAGTACAGCAATATTATGGGTAATAACTAATAAGGCTCAAAAGCACAGTTATTTGCCACTGGTTGCACACAATACGGAAGTACAATAAAGTTACACAAGAAATAGTGCATATAGTTAGAATCTTTCTATATAACTCTTCGGGAAGAACTCTTTTTAATTCAAATTCAATGCCAATTTTTTTTGGTGATAAGTACAATTTGTAAAGTGTTCAAAGTGTGTGCTTATTCTTTGGGTATATAATTCATTTTAACATACTACTTATTAAAACGTATTGTTTAGATACAATGCATACAGAGTGAAGACATTTAACATTATTTTGTGTACATGTAAAATGTTTTGCAAGGATGAAGTCCAACATTTGGTGGTATTTGTCAGTAACTTTCATGTACACCTCAATGCAAGCGTTCTCGCATATAGCATTCGTGTGTTTAGAAGTTTTGTAGAAAATAAGATTGAAATATTTTCACGATTTGGGACTTCCCGGCTTTAACTGTATTTTGAATGACTTGTTCATATATACCGGTATTACAGGTTTTCTTTTTTTGTATTTTCATGTCTTTCATATGTTGTAGTTGAGACTGGAATATCAGAACCGAGTGTACCTGCCCGGCTGATGCCTACACCAAACCCAAACATTCTGATATTAACTGCAAACACATGCCAGATATCGGTCTTGCTTATTCTAGTATATTTTAATTGTTTCACCTCAATTATATTTTCATGTATATTACATGTAGTGTCGAAAATCTGATACTTTTTTCTTTTTGTAGCTTTTTTGATTTACATCTTCATTCCCAACGGCAAAAAAATGACCTCATTTAAATAATGCAGTTTTATTCTTAAATGCGCTTGTATGAAGTCAATTTGGAGCAAGCACCCCAGTGCAGAGTTTAACTATATTTCGAGTATGGAATAAACTGAAAGAGATGACAGTCTGGCAGGTAAGAATAATTCTAAGCGAAAATACTTTAGATATAAAATATCATCATGTATCCTACAGCTTAGCACTTTGTTCTTGTATATCACCAGTGTGCATTGTCATTTGGTTCTTTGGTGTGTCGATCTTTTCGAGAAAATAGTTTCTCGCACAATTCACAAGTATAATTCTTTTCACCAGTGTGTATTCTTATATGTATTTTAAGATTAGCAAATGACTTGTTACATATTTTAAGTGTATACCTTTGCTCAAGATTAGCAAATGACTTGTTACATATTTTAAGTGTATACCTTTGCTCCCCCCTATGCGTTGTTTTGTGGACGTCAAGTCACATATTTTACATGACTATTTCCTTTCACCGGCATGTATTCTCATATGCCTTTTCATTTCACCTTTGTGGTTCGTTCGTGGCCGAGTGGTTAATGTCGTTGACTTCAAACCACTTGCCCCTCACCGCTATGGGTTCGAATCCCGACAGGGAATTTGGATTCTTTCATGCAAGGAAGCTATCCAGCTTGCTTACGGAACGCCGGTGGTTCTACTCGGGTGCCCATTCGTGCCTGAAATAATGCATGGACGGGCACTTGAGGTCTTCCTCCACCAGTAAAGCTAGAACGTCGCAATATGACCTATACTGTGTCGATGTGACGTAAACCCGAAACAAACTAACGAAATCATTACTTCTTTGCAAGAAACTGATTTATACTAAACTACGCATGTTTGCTCCGTTTCGCGGTATGAACAGTTATTTGTCGTTAAATCTATATTTAAGAGCAAATGACGTATTACATATGTCACATGTTTGCTACTTCGCCCTGTATGTTTTGTCATGTGCGCTTAAAGATCATATATACTTTCATGCAGAAATGATTCCCCACGTATTTTACATTCGTTATTCTTCTCACCAAGTAATTTGTCATAATTATGTGCTTTTAGCGCATCTTTACAAGAAACTGTTTTTTTGCTTCATTTCGTCGGTACGAGCAGTCATTTGTCGTTAACTGTAAGGCAAATGGCATATTACACGTGTCCCATGTTTGCAATTGATAATTGAATTCATAAAGTTTGATTATAGAGAATATGATAATGATATATAATAAGAGTTTTTCTTTACTCTAATTGTTGTTATATTAAATAAATGTTCGTTTGCTTTTTATTTTGATCACGTGACCCCTTTAAAGTAAAGTATATCTGTATAAGAAGTGAAGTGAGACCAAATTTGGTTTGGTTCAACTATAACACCAACGTAAAAAAACATATCCTAAAAAAAATTCACTGTTTCTTCTGTATCAGATAAAGAGCTACTGCAGATATAGTGCTTCTGCAGATATAGTGTTTCTGCAGATATAGTGCTTCTGCAGATATAGTGCTTCTGCAGATATAGTGCTTCTGCAGATATAGTGCTTCTGCAGATATAGTGCTTCTGCAGATATAGTGCTTCTTCAGATAAAGTGCTTCTTCAGATAAAGAGCTTCTGCAGATATAGTGCTTCTGCAGATAAAGTGCTTCTGCAGATATAGTGCTTCTGCAGAAAAAGTGCTTCTTCAGATATAGTGCTTCTGCAGATAAAGTGCTTCTTCAGATATAGTGCTTCTTCAGATAAAGTGCTTCTGTAGATATAATGCTTCTGCAGATAAAGTGCTTCTTCAGATAAAGAGCTTCTGCAGATAAAGTGCTTCTGCAGATAAAGTGCTTCTGCAGATAAAGTGCTTCTGCAGATATAGTGCTTCTGCAGATAAAGTGCTTCTTCAGATAAAGTGCTTCTGCAGATAAAGTGCTTCTGCAGATAAAGTGCTTCTGCAGATAAAGTGCTTCTGCAGATATAGTGTTTCTGCAGATATAATGCACTTAGAAAAGGTGCATTAACTCTCTACATTACATTAAAAACAAAATCACTGTGAATGATCAAAAATGTATTTACATATTTTGCCCCAACAACGTGTTAATAAATGACACTTTGTGACTTTAATTATTTTCTAATGTTAAAATATGTACATGTTTTTGTGTTATTTAATGTAATTTTGCTAGCTATCTGCTACTGTAATAGCTGATTCAGTAAACTACAAGGAAAAACGATTTTTACGTTTTCACGAAACGAAAGTTGTTTTACGTCACGCCAATTAAGCCTCTTTTCTTCTATTATGTGGACTTTGTCTTTAGTGTATTGAATTAGTTTATACGAATATTCAAACGTCAATGAATATTATCAAATATGTCTTGAGATGTCCCCTGAAAGAAAATATACAACATCACACATTTAAATATTTGTCCTTAAGACAATTTCTTCTAGAAAAATAACCATTTACCGCATGAGTTCCTTTTTACGTTTTTTTTTTCTTCTTTCTTTTTGTTTTGCTTTTTGCGATAAAGATAAGGTCTTGTAATTTATCTATCACATTTACATGGTTTTAGTATTAGTGTGTACTTTCATATGTGCTTTAATATAACTTTTATCAGCAAACGATTTATCACAAATTTCACAATGATGCTCCTTTTCACCAGAATGTATTTTCATATGTCTTTTGAGATTGCTATTGTGAACAAATGACTTTTCACAGATTTCACAGTGATACTTTCTATCACCATTATGTATTTTCATATGTGATCTAAGGTTACTTCTGAAGGAAAATGATTTACCACATATTTCACAAGAATATTTCTTTTCACCAGTGTGTATTGTCATATGCCCATCAAGAGCATATTTACGAGAAAATGACTTTTCACATATTCCGCATGCATGATGTTTCTCGCCAGTGTGTATTTTCATATGTGCCTTTAAGTTACCTCTCAAAGAAAATGATTTATCACACATTTCACATGCATATCTTTTCTCAACAGTGTGCATAGTTGTCCTATGTTTTTGAAGAGAACTTCTTAGTCCAAATGACTTATTACATATTTCACATGTTTGCGTTTTCTCACCAGAGTGCGTTATCATATGTTTTGTGAGGCTTTCCTTCAGCGGAAAAGATTTTTCACATATGTCGCACTTATAGTCTTTTTCACCAGTATGTATTGACATATGATATTTCAGATTATGACTACGTGAAAATGATTTCTCGCATATTTCACATTTAAATCTCTTCTCTTGGAGATGAACTGATGTAATATGTTGATATAGATTAGATTTATAACTAAATGACTTATTACATATTTCACATGTTTGCGTTTTCTCACCAGAGTGCATTATCATATGATTTGTGAGGCTTTGCTTCACCGAAAACGATTTTTCACATATGTCGCACTTATAGTCTTTTTCACCAGTATGTATTGACATATGATATTTCAGATGATGATTTTGAGAAAATGACTTCTCGCATATTTCGCATTTAAATCTCTTCTCTTGGAGATGAACTGATGTAATATGTTTATTTAGATTAGATTTATAATTAAATAACTTATTACAAAGGTCACATCTATAATCCATGTTTCCGGGACAGTTTGTCATGTCAGAAGAAGCAGGTAAAGATCTATCACAATGTACCTTGAATCCTGTAAAGTAAAATTACATTTCTTAATTACACCAAAGTTATAATCTTTAACTTCATACAGCTGTCTTAGAAAACCACCATATTATGTTCATTTTGATTTCTAAAATACGTAGGGCGTTTAAAATCAATACAGCATACTATAATGTAAACAAACAAAAATTAATGTCATTAAAGAAAGTAGAATCCGTATATTAATATGACATATGAGTGTTTCAGTTTACAGTTTTATTTTTAATTAAATATATAAAGATGTTTCAATTAATGAATTAATACTAATTGCCGTTTATTAAAGCACGAGTATCGAATACATAAATGTCGATGCATTCACCATCCGCATAATATAATATGTAACAAAATAAAATTTTAATTACCAACTTTTTTATATACATGTACATAAATAAATTATTTTTACCTAAGTGTCTGTTGTTTCCTATGCAGATAAATAGATCAAAATTTAATAAAAATATTTCCTTTTTATGAACGTTTATGTCAAACCCATTGAGATAAATGTTACCTCCACCAACATTACAACAAATAAATAATGTTTCTTATTCTTTACATATAAATGTCGCTCACTTTTATACAAATATCAAAAAGGAATGCCATGCCGCGAAAATATTTTGGTAGATAATATCTTATTTAATTACTCTTTTCCGTTCAATATTTTTCTAAACTCTATTCATACCCGGAAGTATTCATTAACAATTTGAACAGGGGAAATTAGCGAGTAAGTGAAAATGATTATTTATATACAATGTAATCAGAATTGTAGCAATGATGCGATAATTGTGATTGTATAGTGATAAAAAGATGAACTTGAAATATGCCGCCAGCTAGGGGATAAAATACATCGATTATATAAACATTGTGACGAATAGTCACTATAAAGTCTTTACCATAGAATGTTAAACAGCTTGCGGCTAAAAATCTGACTATACATTAGTAAAAATGGCAGAAAATGAACAGAACAGAAATACTATTTCGTAACTTATACAACACAGTAACTTGTTACAATACATATATTCCTTGAAATAAATAGCATGACTGCATATCTTAAGATTAACTGTCTGGTGTAAGCCTGAAAATAGGATAAATTTTGTTTGGGAGTGCCATAGGGAGTATTTTGGAAGAAAAGCATTTTGCAGGTGCGCGTAGTATCCTACCATTGAAAAAATTGCCTGCTCTTCATCAAAGGTTATTTGAGTTCCCTGTCCAATTATGATATTTTGAGCAGCCAGGAATCAGTACCAACAGGTTTCCTGCAATATTATTTAGGAAACAGTTTTTTCTGGTTTCCTGTCTCATTCTGGTTCCCGTTCAAAGATACATTCGGAACTACTTGCCAATTACAATTAATCCTAATACGAAGTTTTTACGAAAGTACTTTTCCTGAAATGGAACTCTTAGCGCGTTCACGATCTGGTGATGAATAAATCATAAAGAAAACGCTAAAAGAATCACTGATTCAAGTATACCGAGTGTACAATTTTTGATAAAATTACATGCAAAATAATTACCTTTATATAACTTATTCATAAAAAAAGGATAGATAGAAATAGACGCCGAGTCAATACCAATTTCTAGTAGGTTCCCGTTTAACTATACCCTTTTCCCGAAATGTAATCATTAATCCCGAAATTTGATTTTTAGTGAATTTATGTTCACTGATGTGTTGATTAAAGTTATAAATCATACATAACAATTATTATAATCAAAATGTGTAGCAAGTAGTTCAGCTGACGACAGGGTACATGAATCAGTCAAAATTTAAATATTTTATAACCGTTTTTTATAAAATGATCGTGAACGCGCTTAGAGTCTTATTTCGGAAATGTACTTTCGCGAATCTTGATAGTAGGCTAAATGGTAATCGGCAAGGTTTTCTGCATGTAAATTTGAAAGGGAACCATAAGAAGACAGGAAAGCAGAACAACTGTTTCCAGGCATGCTTCGATAAATTATAAAGTAACATATAAATTTTGTACTGATTCCCGGTGCGCTCCAGATATAATAAGACTGGGGACCAAAATAACCTTTAATGAACAGCAGGCAAACTTATCAAGAGTAACAATAACTTATCTGTCCTTATCTTTTAAGTTTTAAGTGTAGGCCTACTTGAGAAGTTTTACTTTTCTTTTAATATTTAAGCAAGTGATGATATCTACCAGTCATAAACATACAATAACCTGTGTTTAATTTAGAAAACAAAACACTAACCCATTTATATGGTTAAGATCTGTGAAATTTCCAGAATATTCTTCGCATGGTTTTTGACAAAATAACAATGATATCCTATGTCTGTCCACCATATCTGTAACGTTTCACTTATTAAAATTGTTAAATAATCATTTGTTGCATGCTTTAATCGTCTGCATGTTCCAGTTTGACACATAATAATTTACATTGCAATTATATATACTTTGTTTAAAACGGATGATTTATTTTTGACTTAAAAAAGATATTCATACGCGAAAAGCACTCCAGGATGTAAACAACTAGATTTTATGGGTGTCATAGTTACTTCAGAGAAGAAGGTGTTGTCCTATCGTGGTGAACGTCGAAAATAAGAATGAATCGAGAAAAAATGGCGGCCATTTTATTTCATTTTATTTTGAAAATATACCACGAGACCAGATTTTATACTGTACCTATGTAACAGTACAAATTCTTAGTCACGTGGTACACTTGCATTAACAGTAAGAATAACTCCCAGAGGCCTGTGGGAAATTAACATTACAAAAAAAGTGAGGGGGTAATAATGAAAAATGACTCTTATGCGTTTGAAACAGTCTTTATTTCCAGTATGTGATAAATAGAATATTATATTCGTGTAGGTTCAATACTGAATTTATTATTTAACTCGTTGCATTGATGTAAACTATAGATTGTAAGAATCTTACCATCCTTTTTGATATGCAAGAAAATCCTGTTTGACAAGGAAGAAAATTTTATTCAATAAATTTAGTATTGAACCTACACTCATTTAATATCCTCTTTATCTGACAAAGACATACAGTTCAATATAGTTCAATATCTGATTTCTTTTACTTACTCGTAAAAGTAACAGTGTTTGTCATGTTTTAGTATTTCATCTTTGTTGTCGTGCGTTTGTCATTATACATTGGAAGAGGCATATTATTGCAAATATTAAGAATCAATGGGTCGTTTCTGCAGGCACTTTTACTTAGTTTAACACATATTCATTTTATGTTTTATATAATTTGCAATTAAAATATTTACTCTAATTGATTGTATTAGTGCATGTATGTGAAGCAATAATCAGACAATTTCTGCTCTTTGATAACACTTGATCACATCTGGGTTTTCCAGTCCCAAATACCATTTATCCAACATTCTAACATATTTTGATAATTATTTACTATTAAGAAAATGTAATATTTTGTGCAAATAAGTTTATCATATTGATAAAGTAATAAATGATACGATGGCGCGAATGTTTTGTTTTGTTATTCTTCAGAATTTATATATCATTTCGATTGATTATTAAGCGAGCCAAAATCCCAAAAGCTTAGATATACTCTTAAATAGATAGAGTACACGTATTTTGATATATTGTTGACAAAGCAAAAAATGACCGGAGAGAAATTACAACATGATATTGTATGTTATTGTCGGTCTTCGTCTCTATTTGTCTGTGTTGTATTTAAGAATTGCAATATCAGTGCGCACTTTCATCTGTTGGCCGTTATGCACATAGTATCAAATGGCAGCGCAGTATGAATTACTTGCGCACGCAAAAGCCATCACGTGTGTCTGCCATATATTTTACAAACGTGTACGTAATACCAATCGCGTTGTCACGTAGTGCTATCGCGTGCGCACGCAATACATATCACGTAGCCACGTTTTACCGCTAAAAGTATATCATTGTTTGCATTGTTGTAAAATATTATATCAAAAGTTTTGATTTTATCATATTTTATTGCTAATAAATACACGTTAATATACACAGAAACAACAGGTTTTCGAAATAATGAATAACAAAATGAATAAATAACACTAGCGATCGGACCTCTTCCAAATATTGTTTTCTTACCAGGATAGTCAGTCGTTTTTAAAATAATATGTCAACCTGTAAAATATTGAAATAATGTTTAACTGCAACTAAGTTATTTGTATTGTATTGTATTGTATAAAATAAACAAACGCAGCATGTAGTTTAATCATACTTCTTCTTACTAGTATTCAGTGTAATACTTTTACGTCTAATGTCATTTACGTAGACATTGCATTATCAGGCAATGTCATAAAACAGGCCTCGTTCTTGTTAGATTACATAAAGTCATCAGTTATAAAACATGATTAAAAATTTTTTGCCCCGGGACTTCAAAAACAAAATTTTTTTAATAAAATTTTAACGGGAATGAAAAAGCATGCCTTCAGACAAATTTTTGGGAACTTTTCGTGACGCAGTAAAAAACTTTGGATGAATGCTGCAAAATAACCCTTTTCGCCCATAAATGTAAATTTTAATTTGAATCTTTACTCTTTTTATTTTTTCTTAAAATCAAGTGTTTTTTTTCTGAAGTTTGATTTTTTTTAAAAATACTTTGGCTCATCTGGTTTTTATAAAAGCTTTAAAGCAAGCTTCAAATTTTTTTTTAAAATTTTTATCAAACCTGAAAGTAAAGCTAGAGTTAATGTGTCCCTTTTTGAGTTTTCCCCACCTGCTAAT